ATTGTATTTGATTTACTTTTATTCATGATTTCCTACTATAAATAAAAATAGGAATTTATTATTGGGATCTTCACTAATATACCCAAAATAGGGGCTGAATTACTTTTAAAAAAACCCCACATGGAATGCACTTTAGAAACACACCCAAACTCATTTACTACATAAGAAATTGGTGTTGAAGTTCCTATAAATTATGTGACTGCCATTGATCAACTTAAAAGAAGCTCAACACAAAAAACTTAAAAAGCACACAAAACAAGCCCAGCCCAATTTTATAAATAAATAAATAAAACCCCAAACAATTCATTACCGCGTCATGTTGATTAATGACTGTAATGTTCCACACATTTACTGTCATGTTGATTAATGGTTGTCATGTTCCAGTCAGGGTAATAACACTATTAATTTGCTGTCATGTTGATTAATGACTGTAATGTTCCAGTCTAGGTTAATAACACTGCTAGTTTCCTATGACATTTTATTTCTAATGTATGTATACCCTTGTAATGTTCCAGTCTAAGGTAATAACACTACTAATTTTCTATGACATCCTATTTCTAATGCATGTCTACCTCTGTAATATTCCAGTTTAGGGTAATAACACTGCTAGTTTTTTATAACATCTTATTTCTAATGCATGTCTACCCCTGTAATGTTCCAGTCTAGAGTAATAACACTGCTAGTTTCTTATAACATATTCTTTCTAATACATGTCTACCCCTGTAATGTTTCAGTTTAGGGTAATAACATTGCTTGTTTACTATCATGTTGATTAATTGATGTAGTGTTCCAGTCTAGGGTAATAACACTGCTAGTTTATTGTCATATTGATTAATGGCTGTAATGTTCCAGTCTAGGATAATAACACTGCTAGTTTCCTATGGCATCCTATTTCTAATGCATGTTTACCCCATGTAATATTCCAGTCTATGGTAATAACACTACTAGTTTCCTATGACATCCTATTTCTAATGCATGTCTACCCCTGTAATGTTCTAGTCTAAGGAAATAATACTGCTATGACATCATATTTCTAGTGCATATCTACCCATCTAATGTTCCAGTCTAGGGTAATAACACTGCTAGTTTGATGTCATGTTGATTAATGCTTGTCATGTTGCTATTTCTAATACATGCTCACCAAAAAAAAGATGAATAAAGAACAAACTAGACCAACTCAAACAAACCGACCAGATTGTTAATACTATTATGTCATAGAAGTACATTGTTAATACTCTGTCATATAAGTACATTTAAAATGAGATCCATAACTGAAATAGTAACAAAAGATAAATTGATCATCAAGGCTTAAAATACATTCTGAAAATCAACTAAAATCCAAATAGAAACACATAATTAATTGAAGCAAAAGATCAAAAATCTCAAGTTCAAACCAAACGACGACAACAACAATAACGATGATGACGACAATTACTACAACGATGTGGCGAAAGAGGAATAGAGCTAAGAGCATCTGTTCGAGGTTTCGAACAATCTGGAAAAAAAATATGGATAGAAGCACAATATTTGAACAAGAAATCGAATGTGAAATATTGAAAATTGTAGATCATAGATGAAGAATGTAGTTGGACCTAAGACTGAGCTTCAATGGAAGATCCTCTTACTCCAACACCGAGAAAGCACTAGCGAGAAAGGAGAAAATGAATATGATTTGGTTTTTTGGCAGATTTGGTTTTTTGACAGATTTGGTTTTTTAGCAGATCTGCTTTGGTTTTTTGGCATATATGATTTTTCTCTCTCAATCCATAGTACAAGGGCAATATAGGTATTTTACACACACAAATAAACTAAAAAATAGATATTAAATTGAAAAAAAATTGACAACTGTTGATTTTTGGGTTTCTTTTTTTGGGTGTGTTTGTAGTTTTTAAATGGTATAAGGTTTCTTTATAAGACTATGTCTAAGATTGGGTATATAACTAAATTTGTATTTATTATTTACTTGGGCACTAAGTCTCCGTTGTATTATAAATATGACCTCCTACAAGGAGAAGAATGTCCAAAAAATGTCTACAAACAAATATTCTCCCATGGTTCTCATATTTTAGTAGACTTTAGGCCACACCATTTATTCCCTATTGCTTTTGGGATGAATGGTCCAATCATATTGTGTTACCCAATATGAATATATAATAAGATCTTGCATTTCTTAGATCCTATCTATTTCCCATGCTAAACTTCCATTTTATGGGCCAATCATAAGGGCCCTAAATGGAAGAGAAATTTACGTGCAACTTGTCATCTCTATCTCATAAAGTGGTGCACAAAAATATTTCCAACTTATTTTAAAGTTTGCCACATCACCATCAAAATATTCAAATTCCACAAAGGCTAGGCCAAAAAAGTAGAACAATACAAAACGAAACAAGACGGCCTCGAACAGGCAAGCATCATCAACCAACCATCTCCTGTGCACCCAAAATACAAACAAGCTAAAACAAGCTGCAACAACTATCAATTACTAGACATTATACCACATGCCGCATTCCAAAGCCGTAACATCATTACTTTGGTCAATTAAAGCCACTGAAAAACCAAAAAGGGCCAAAAAATTGGAAGTGTGCTAGTAGTTGCACCCACCATTATATCATGTTTCATGATTATGGTATTAGAACGAGTTTGTCCACGTGTGAAGTTCCCGGAAATTAATCTCAACAGTTTGAAAATGCACTAAGCGGTGACTAAAATAGTCTCTTGACTATATTGGCTCTCTTCTCAACCATCAAAATTGCTTGTGACGTGTAAAGACCCCAAGAATCATGTGAGTGGTTCGTCGTTGAGGCACTGAGCTTTTTTTATGGTTTTGGAACGTAGCATGGAGACGACAGACGAGATCGAATAATCGAAGAGGTTGTTTTTTGAACGTGAAGGTCGGTGAAGAAGAAGACGAAGCCAAATTTAGACTCGCCACCAACCACATTATATATTATATGTTACTACTCCCATACTGCCATACACGAAAAGCGAAGCTTTTGAACCCTAATTAATTATAAATATTTTTTTTGCCCAAAAGAATTTGCTTCTCCAGCTCAACTTGGTCTCATGAGGGCATGGTCCTAGCTTATGATTATATCAACGTTTTATCATGTTTGAAATAATAATTGGTCTTGTCAATGAGAGGGTTGATTCAATTGTGGTAAGCTCCTTGAATTGTATGTAGCTCTATTAGTGTTTGAGTCCCGTTACCAGCAATTCTTATTTGTGTGCAATCTGTAATTTTCTACATAAATCCACATAGGTGGCGGCTGACAGTTGAATACCAAGCGTGAGTCTTTATGTCTTGAAGTTGTGAGTTTGCTCTAACGCTGGTGGTGAGAGTAGCCAATCTCCCCTAAACTTTTCTTCACAAAATAAAAAATAATTGGTCTTAGCTTTTGATTATATCAATGTTTTAAAGTATTATTTAAATCCTAAGGTTGACAAGTAATGAATGACTAATTTCAATTGACTTAATCTAGGTGTACAGTACAGTAATTGGGAATTTAAAAAAAGAAAAAGAAAAAAGGATGACCTCATTTTCACACCAAGCATATCCATAATTATTTTATAATAAAAAATTACCTGAAAATTTTCTTTATTAGGGCATGGTCAAAAGGTAACCTAGCAGCCAATGGGTTCCACACCACCACATCGGCGGCGGTGGCTTCCCCTTTCCTCCCATGGCACCCTAGTTCGAACTCCAGAACTCCAGAATCGAACTTCAATGTTTAAAAAAAAAGAAAGTAACTTAACAGCAAAACCCTAATTTAAAATAAAAATTTATTTTAAAGGTTGCATGTTAAAGAAATGAAAATGATTTGAAAAAGAAAAGGTGGAGTGTGAAAAAATTATAGGTAGCATTCAAGTTTTGAATTCCCTGCATGTGAAGGAGATGAAGGGTGATGGATAAGATAATCAGAATAATTGGGTAATGATGAAAATGAAAGTGAGCAAGCGCACGTGGTAGAGCAATAAGACCTAGATGAAAGATTCCCTTTGCTAATTTGTGTTCACATTCACACCTACTTTATTAAGGGACAAAAGATTCCATTCTAAACCCTTTTCACACCTGACTTGCCGCTCCTTTGATTCTTATCTACTCTCTAGTTGGTGCCATTTCAATACTCTGGTAATATAGTCTCTTGTTAGTTAATGGTCAATAAACTTACCTAATCAATGATTTCAATTTAACCAATACGTTACGATAACATGTCAATTTTTTTGTTCGAGAAGAAGAAGTACATTTTAGATATGATCTGGTTCATTATTCAGTGTCTTGATATAGTTTTTTTTTATTCATTGCGTCACGAGTTTGAACGTCGAATATACTCTTTACATGTTTTGAATATTTCGTTTTCGTTAATATTAAAGAAGTTTAACTGATTAATTACGACAAGATTTCTAATAGTGGGATCACACGACTCCAAGATAGGTCACTTAATTAATATAATTAATCTTATTGTTGTGCTTACATGAGAACTCTAATCATAGATATGAATGAATGTTTTTTTTTTACCACTTGAGCTAAAAAGCTACAAAACCTACCTTGTCAGTACATATTGATAAAGCCAAATGGATTGGCATCACAATTTTGACCTCTTTTTTCCTTGTAAGTAAAATATATTTTTATTTCTTAACTAGTGAAGCTGATCAGCTTTGCGCATATGGTGATGTTGTCATCAATATAGCTTTAGGTTGGGGGTGAAGAGGTCAAAACTCCCACCACCAGCCACGTAGGACAGCATGTCATCAAACGTGGCAACAAATTAGGTTTGACTCTTCCTCTCATAACCTTTTTCTCTCTCCCATTTCCTCACCATATTCTCTCTCACCAGTTCTTTAATTAATTTCCCTCTCTCCAATCCTCTATATATAAAACACAAAGCACACAAGCATACCTCTCCATTTCCAAAACAGCACCCAAACCTTTGCTCAAATATTTTCTTCATTAAAAACTCAAAACCCAAAACCCAAAAAAAGAAGAAGAAAATAAAAAAAATATGGGGAATTGTATAAGGCATGAGCCGTCTATGCAATGGGGAGGGGATGATTGGGGTTGCATGGCAAATGGTGTAGATGATCATGAAGAGGGCATGGAGGAGATCATGAAGAAGAAGAAGAAGATCAAGATGGAGGAGGGCCAGGGGGGTTTTGAAGATTTGGGAGCAGCTGGGTTGGCTAAGAAACTTGGTGGAGCCACAGAGGTGAAGATCAAGATCACAAAGAAGCAGTTGGAGGAGTTGCTGGGTAGGGTGGATTTGAAGCAAATGTCAGTGCAACAGGTTTTGGCTAAGCTGATTAGCTTTGGTGATCGATATGAGGCCCATCAACGGTCTTGGAGGCCTGCCCTTCAAAGTATTCCTGAGGTTAATTAACTAATCAGGTGATTAGTGATATGATTAGTGGTGATTGTGGTGGTGATCTCAATCCCTTAATTTTGCCTTTTTGTATATGTGAAGCTGTTATTGTAGTTGCAAAGGGAATATCAAAGGGGTCATAAAACCCTTGTAAACATTTTGTTTAATTTTGTACATTATATACTTTAGAGTTCAACACAAAGCCTCAAATTTGCCAATCTCTCTCTCTCTCTCTCCATATATATAATTCAAAAAAAGTGGTGCTCTTTTTGGTGGAACAAGGAGGGGAGGGAGAGACCTACTCTTAAAAAAGGGACCTAACCTAACAACTAACTTGGCTACAAGAGCAGGTGGCAGTGACCATTTACATAATGTGATAATGTTCACCAAAACATATAACAGTAAACCGGAAAAAGAGTACAAACCCACCGGTCCAAGAAGCGGTGGGAGCTTCTATAACGAGGGCTATATGTTGAGGAGGTGTATTGACGGGTTCAATCCAATCGTCCAAAACTATAAAGAAGTTATTGAACTCAAACATTTTTATTGAAGGATTCAATTCAACCGTCTAATACTATAACAATGCGTTTGGATGACGGAAATAAACTTGAGATTTTGACAAAAATCAGAATTTCTAAATTGACATGAATCAATTCCCGTGTTTAGATAAAAAAACATAAAAATTTAGAAATTTCCCGTGGGAAAAAACATGGAATTTGGAGATCATAAATCCCAACTTTAAATTCTATCTAAAAGTCGTCATTTCTAAAATTTAAAGAGAGATTGAGTTTAAAAAAAAATAACTTTACAAATAAAAGTTAAATTCCGTGTTTTAAATCCATCACCCAAACAAGAAACTTTACAAATTTTACAACATTAATTTCCTTCATTTTAAATTCTGTCATTTATGAAATCCTTTGTACTTTTAAATTTCCTCATCCAAATGTACCGTAAAGAAATGATTGAACTTAGACATTTTCATTGACGGGATGACAATTAAGTACCCCGTCATTATAGTCTCGCCTAGAATGGGGTGGGTTCATAAGGGGATTGGGCCCCAAAGGCTTTTAAGACATGTCCTCAGGACCAAATTTATGAATCCCAGCCAGAGCCCAAGCCCATGCTCAAAACTATCTTCTGACTCTTCTCCACTACGCCGCACGAAATCGAACTTCTGAGCCCGCCAAAAACAAAGGGAAAATGGAAATGCGAGAGAGAAATCTAATATGAATAAAAAGGAAACTTTTTATTTTGGAATCCCTCCAATTTTTCCAAATTCAAATATGAACCTATAAAAACCACTCTCTCTCCCCCTCATTTTCCCTCTCCCTCCAATTTCAAGACCCAAAACTAGTTGCTCTTTTCTCTCCATGGCCGACTACGAGCCTCCCTCGTTCTCTCTCGGGTTCGATCTGGGTTTCGATTCGGAGCTTCAAACAGCTGACACGGATCACTCCACTCCCGCACCAGCTCCAGACCCTTCGCGCGGTTCGGATGCCCTTAAACCCTTTGACGTAGATGAAGAGATCGGGCCTCAAATCACTGGTCCGGATCCAGAAATCGGGCCCCAACCAGTGCGGCCTCTCAAGCGGCTCAAGCGAGGACTGGCTCTGAAGCGGGAGCCCGCGACGCCGATTCGTAATATTGACGATGATATCGAAGAGTTCTCTTCTCCGGAAGATATTATTCGAGGTATTGTAAAGATTTTTCATTTTTTTTGTTCTAGTAATTTTGTTTATTTATGGTTTAGTGAAAATGGGAGTTGAAAAAGTTGATTTCTTTTATGTTGTCTTTGATGAAATTGGGAAATAAAATGGGGGAAATGTGGTGGAGTTGATTATCTCCATTTAAAAAAAGAAAAATATATAATAATACATTGTTTGCAGATGGTTTGGGGAAGGGAAGTAATTCTAAAGTATATTTCGATGTAAGTTGTTAAGTAGAAGAAAGTAGCATTTTTGTTAGATTTGCAGATGTAATGTAATGAATTTTTTAATTTATAAAACTAAAGGTTTTTGTGATTTGGGGGATTAGGGTTATGCAAAAGGTGAAAATTTGAGATGGGAAAATGGGTAGGTATGGTTGAAAATTGAAATGCCTTTTAGGAGTAGCAGTACTAGTAGGGACTTTATTTGGTAAATTAATTGGTTAGAGCAATGGGGTTGGTTCTTAAATCTGGGGGTTGATAAATAGTGGCAAAAATTGTAAGCTATATGCAAGAAGCATAAGCAAGCACATTGAATAACGAAGTTTTGTGTCCTTTGATTTGTAGTACTATTAGGAGAACTTTCTCAGTAAGTTAATATAATCATTTTTAGATTTTTTGCTAGGAAGGTCTGCTTTGCACACAATCTTTCATCTGACTCATTTTCAGATAGTGTGATTTCTCTCTTCCTTGTGTGTGTGTGGGTCTACCCTATTGGTTATGTGTTTAGATTAATGGTTGCCAAAATTTGTAGCAGATGCATATCGGCCAACACAATACCAAACTGTTTCCAGTAGTTCAAAGATCCCATTACATGGAAGTGGGGTTTTAACCTCTCAATCATCCTGCCATAGCATGGGAAGGAAAAGGAAACCTACATCAGAGGTCTCAGCTTCTGTGGGTATGGAGGCGAACCGCCAAGGATTGATGTTTCCAAAGTTGACTACCAGTCCTCTTCGAAGGTTCCAGTTAATTGATTCTGATTCTGATGATCCTTCAGTCAGAGAAAATGGGAGCAGGGTTACTTGCAACGTTGATCCATCCTCAAAGAAGCAACAATTCAATTCCGGCCATTCTGCAAGTACTAGTGAAACAAAGAAGAAACTATCAGTGCCTCAAGATGCAGGTGATGTGGATCTGTGGAAAGATTTCAGTCCAATCAAGAAGTTTAGCATTCCAACACCTGCTTTGGATGAGGTATGTCAAGAATTTCTCCAATTCGCGAAGGATAAGACTAGTCAGAAATTGGAGAGGGATTCATGTCTACATACAAATGAAATTTTTCAAGAAACGACATGTTGGGTCCAAGATGTTGAACAACTCTGGAATGTGGCTGATCCCCTTCCACCTGCTCATCATTACTTTTTCCATGACGATCCAAATATTCAGAAATTAGTCTGCAGTCGCTTACCCAATTTTTTTCCACTGGGCATTAACGTCAGAGGAAATCAACGGAATGGTTCATCAGTTATTGACTACATGTAAATACTTTTTTTCCCGGTTGTTTCTGCTTTTTATAAACTTTCATTTTGAGTGTTATGTCATGACATGTTTCACATTGTCATTTCAGGGGTCAATTTAGCACTGGAGAAGCTTCAAAGCAGAAAGTGAATCAAAAAATTCACCTTGACCAAAGCTCTAAGAGGAGAAATAAATCAAACATATCAAATGTTGAAGAAGGCTTACATGCTTCCGGAGGCTGGATGAATCCAAAAGGTAAAGCAGCACAGAAAGGTAGTGTCAATAAGAGCTCAAGAAAGGGAAGAAATAGGTCAGCCAAATCAAATTTTGGAAATGTCGAGCATACTTCTGGAAACTGGGTGGAACCCAGAAGCAATGCCAGTACAAAGCGGATTCAAGCAAATGCACAACCTTCTGGTCAATGGTCTACGCCCAGTGTAAGTGGGCAAGCTGCTGGTCATTGGTATACTGGCCCTGGTGGAAGGAAGGTATGTTAAAACACTTCATATTGATGATTTTATTGTATAGATCTTATGTTAATGGCTATTAGCCGGTCCTTTTTGTACTTGATAGATAGCAAATGTGGACAGTATAAAAGGTTCTAAAAACTGACTGCATTGTTAATGAATTATGCTATTATGCTTACAATCTCTAAAGTAAAAGTGTACTAAATCCTACATTATCTTATTGTTGCTTTACAAAAGAAGCGGAGTGATAGAGTTTCTGCAAAAATTGCTGGATCCTTGGTTATAATGTTTGTCCGGTTTGAATAACGTTATACATTGTCCAGTGTAAATTTTCCTTCTGTGGATAGTGATCAATTGAGATAGTGTGATACTTTATTTTGGTTGCAAGCATCTGTTAATTTGTGATTCATCTTGAATCTTCCTTCTAGAAATAGGAAACTAGAATTTGATATTGCTGGTGAGATTTCATTTGACAATATGCAGACATTCTTATCCGCGGTCACATGGATATAAGTGACTTGGTTGGCGTTGTAGTTCTAAATTTTCTGTAATGTCTTTGACATTATTACTGCATGCATATATCTCTCCTTGCCTTGATCATGTACAGGTTGTAATGCTTTTAGTTTTTATCATCAGGTTTATGTAAGTAAAACTGGGCAGGAAATGACAGGCTCTACAGCATACAGACTCTATCGGAAGGTACATGTAAATCCATACTTTTCAATGTTTCGTTCTCTTTGTGCAGCTTGCTCATTTTTTACCTTTGTCATGGACAGGAAAGTGGAGCACGGTCTGTCAAAGCCAGAAAAACGAAAGGAAAAAAAGAAAAAGGTTCCAAGAAGAGGTGAGGCTGAGAGTTGATGCCATTGCCATGTACCAAAGTATTTCTGTAACATTTCTTGTCCATAATTTCTCCATTTTAGATTTTTTTTTCCCCATGTAATATGGTCGTCATAATGTTGACCAACTTTTCGAGAGAATTTATTCCGTGACATAATACAAAGATAGTTATTTCTTTTCCGTACTTGGATGCTACGACCAAGACCTTGATTCTGACTACAACAATGAAGATAAGTTTGCAGTTGATTAGAGTAATTAGCCACCAACCATTTGCACTTAAGTTCGAATCGCCCTCCTAGATTAGGGTAGTTTCAATATCACATTGTACAAAAAAAAATAAAAAAAAATGCATATCTCAGTCTGTACCAGGCTGCACTTGCTGAAAAATCCAATCTTTTTATTGTTCTTTCACTTGGTCAGAAAGAAAATCTGTTGCAACCCTCAAATCAGTCCGATAAAAAAACCTGGCATGCCGTGCTTATTTCTTTACACCTCAAAGCCTAGTTAACTTTCAAGATGTAGTGTCAAGAGCCCAAGTAGATGAATGCCCTTCAAGCATTTGAAGCAATTCAAAGCGAATTATGTGAATGATCTGGTTACCAGACTACAACTAAATGTGAGAGGCTGTCAAATAAAGCAACAATCGTTCTATGTTCAAGCATCCTAATTTGCCAATCACGTAGGTACATTGTAGTTTATTTGCTGCATAACAAAAGCACATAAGAAAACAATTCATTGGATAAAAGGGATAGCAACTTTTGGTTTTTTCTTTGGGAATACTCTCCCCCTCAAAATTAAAACCCAACCAAAAAAAAGTAGCCCTTGAAGTAAAACCTCTTATACAACATTTTATGCTCTTCTAAAACAAAAAGCATTCTCCAGCATGGCCAGGACTTGCAAAAACCATGGATTATGTTAGCAATAAAAAGTTCAAATGACTCCTTCACACGCTTCATGAGATGTCAAACAGTTTGCTCAAAGACAATATCATGTCAGAGGTCTTCGGTGGAAGAAGAAAAAAAGGGGGGCCAATATTGAGTAATATGTGCTTGATAAGTACCTGCTGCCCATCTATTCAATGAGAAAAAAACGCGACCGCAAAAGATATACAGATGTCAGAACAAACAAGACACTTATGCCTTAAAATCTTTTTTGTACGCACCCTGCATAATTCCACTCATTTGTGATCAGAAGTGTCCTGCTGGTTAGAACCCTTGGAGTCCTCTCGATTAGAAGTCCTGGATCTAAATATGTGTTTGCATCTCCTGCAATGATTAGTGTAGCATGATTAACTGTACAGATTGAAAATCAAATATTGCAGTAACTACAGAAGGAAGCAAGTGAATGGATAACCCTTCAGGAAACTAGGGAAACGAGTAAAAATTACTGTAGTGCATTTGCTATGGAAAGAGTTACCCCACAATCATAAATTCTCCTCATATCATCTGTTTCTAATTTAACCCATCAATGTGATATATCAGATACCACTACAAGGTTAGATAAAAAATTTAGAAGGGCATTGATTTGGGCAAACGGTTATTAATCTTGCAGTCCTAAACTTTAAGAGGTCACATACAATGTTGACATCATTAAAAGCATATTAACAAAAATTGAGCATTATATTTCTAGGCAAGTTGCAAACTAATTTTTTTAAAAGAAAAAAGTAAGTTGCAATCTAATAAGTGGAAGAGTATTACGAGTTCAATTCCTCAGCCCTGCTCTTAATATCACTTGACCATAAGACTGGGTCAACATTCTTTGGCAACGAGTCTTGTAGTTGGTTTTTCTCTCTAAGCCACTGCTCCACCTTATAGCACTCATTGACAATCTGAGACACCGAAAGTCAATCATAGGAAAAATTATAGTCACATTTATATGCGGCATAAGTAACTAACTGTATTGTCATACCGATTCCCTATCCATGGGTGGAAGTGAATTCACAGCCATCCGGTAATCCCCAATGCACTTTAATAGATCTCTTGTAGCTTGCAATCTTGCTTCCTCGTCTTTATATCGGTTCTCAATTGGATCCACCATCTATAATTATCCAATAGACATCAAGGTAGGAGAAAGATAATAGGAACTTAAATTGCCAAATTTCAAAAAGTGGAGAGAACCTTCTTAAGATCTTCCAGCTTTGAAGTATATGCATTTTCAGTTTCATCTTCTCCATCATCATAAAGCCAATCCTCAGTCTGCTGTAGGCTCCTGGAGATTCCCTCCCTCTCTTCATCACTTGCAAAGCTTCGATATGTGTTGAAGAGCTATTCACATGCATGTCCTTATGTTAAAAGCCAGCCTATGGCAGCAAATGAGCATGAACTAAAAGATTTACAAGAGTATGACTAAGTTATAGTCAAGCAAGCTCAGGTATGGATAATGAGATGAACAGAGGGACCGCAATAAGGGACTGATCTTTTGCCAAATATCTATAGAACTGGTGATCATCCCATACTATAAGACAATTAAAAGAATTGTTGGGTTAAAGCTAATACAGAGTAGTCATACAGCTTAAATCCTGATATTACTAGACAGCAGTATTCACCATTATACATTTCGACTGTTATCACAAACAGCATCAAATCTACATCAGTTGAGTTGATGATATTTTACTCTCAGGCCATTTAGGGGGAAAAAAAACTGGCCTCATAAACAAATACAAACTCCAATATTATAAGTAGAATGTTAGTCTTAAGTCCTTATACTGCTTGGAAAAATGCATATTTCAAATCAATGCTAAATCTAATTATTTGAGCTGGTTGAATCACAAAACCAAAGCAAACATGATGGAAAGATAATACAGGTTATACCTTATTACGCATATCATATACATAAGATTCCAAGGCATTCTTTTTGTCTTTCGTTTGTTCCATAATTCTGTCCTGCTGACCTAACTGGAGTTCTTTTTCTTGAGCTTCTGAAAGTTCAGCCTTGGTCATTCCACCATATATATTTTCAGTAACGGGTATCTCTAGCCTCCTGGTGGATTTATTGTCTCTTTTCCCATCACCCTGGAAAAGTGCATATCTTTAAATGATTCTCAATCTACTCCACAAACTAACAACTAAATTGACAGGAACATAATTTAAATCTTTTCAAAAGAAAATAAGTCTAACCATTATAAATTGCACATTAAATATAAACGACACAATTACTATAAATAAATTATAAGGGAATTATTGCATATATCCAAATTCCAGATTCATATCTAGTTCTTCTGACATGAAATATGAACAATAAAAATAAATAAATAACTAAATTTACAAGTCTGCAACTAATGAAGTTGAAAGCAAACTTACACTAGCATGTGAAGACTTGGACTGCATACTACTACTTTCTTGAAATCCATCTGCAACTGCCTCAGAAGAACCAGAAGCAGTTACACAATCAATGTCCATTGGGTCCATTGAATCAGCAACACCCCTTGTAGAAGAGTCATCTCCATGTTCTTCAATCACCTAATGCCATTACAAGATTTATACCACAAAAACATGATCCTAGTCAATGAGTAAATGACAAAGTTAATATGGTGACATAAAAGAAAGAAGATCAGACTTCTAACTTACCATAGCTGATTCAACAAAGACAACACCATTGAGGTCTAATTGAATTTTAACTTTAACCCTTGCCTTTTCACTATGGGAGCATTGGAAAGGGCCAATCTACATAAACAGCAGCTCATTTTTAGAAAGTAAGCACAGAGAGGATCAAAATGACATTTGCATTGAGCAGATAGTAAACTGAAGCTGTCTCCCCCAAGTGTTCTATAATCCGTCTAACCAAAAGCAATTTCCATGATCCTGGATTATTACCAATGCTGCAAAGATTAGACATTGAGCTTTGCAGTCTTCAGTGGCAACATGATTGCCTTTGATTTCAATTACTTCTCTCATGTAGGCATCCTTTATTGACTTTATTTTCTTGCATCCTCACTGAAAAAATTGTGTGTGCCACATGTTCTCCTCCCTCTAGCCCACCAAAAAAAGAGAACAAAGAGCAAAATATATTACCTTAAAACAACTAATTTTAGAAGATACACCAGCAGGCACTTCACTGGGATTAGCATAGAATGCTTCCAGATGAAATGAACTGCTTCGTCGAAATGTCAATACTTTAACACTTGGAATGGGTTGGCCTTTTGGAAACAGGATGCCATTTGACCCTGTGCAAATTGGAGCTTCATCCAATAAGAATCCTATAGAGAAAGGAATTGAATCTTGAACCTGCATATAGATCCAGGAAAACCATTACTTTCATTGTGGCAATTATCCAGATAACAAAGACATGTCTCTACATTGTGAAAATTAAAGCTATAAAGTTAGTGCTTTGATTCTTCGAGTCTAGGAGGGATTTTTGAAATGTAGAGCATATCTAGAGCAAGTAAGAGGTTGTTACCTTTAGACAATAAAATCATATAATCAAGCAAGCATCCATCACAGATTTTGTGCTTTCTTGCCTGCTTAAGTGCTGCTACGTTAAGAACTGGAAATAAATGCTTCTTTAAGGTTGTTTATAGTCCCTAAGCTTATGCTTTGTGAGAGGCACCCATACTTCTCAAAATTTCAAAAAACAGAGCCAAAAAAGAGAGGATATGTAGCTAGCTATACAGGGTACATTGCATATAACAGCATTGTGTTGCCTTGCGTATGAACAAATATATCATGGCATTCTCAAGTGACACGAAAGTAGTGAATTTTTTAAACCAAGAAATGATAATTTGTTTCAGAATACAAACCTCATATTCTCTGACTCGAAAAACTGGACTTAGCATTGCACATTGAAGAGCGCATCCACGTGCTACACACTCACTCGCATTCAGTGTCCGGCGAGGTTCTTTCCTGAATACAGAAGTTAAAACTCTACCAACAGCTGGGATCCTAGACCCCGACCCAACAAGCTCCACAGAATGAATCTTCTCAGCAGTCAAACCTGCATCAGCTAAAGCTTTGCTACAAGGAACACCAATCCTCTCCAACAGACCTGAAGACAACGTCTCAAAGTCTTCCCT